GCATGTAACTTGTTTTTGTTGTTGTACAATTCCGCAGGCCTGTTTAAGCTAAAAGCGTGTCTGAGTGAAGAATCGGTTGTGATTCTGGAGATGATAAGGTATGGTACAAAGCCTTTCCTTCAGAAAAGAAAAAGCCTTCAAATTTCTGAGTTACAATTTCCATTTCCATAATCAAGTTTCCAGGAATCCCGTGCTTGATGGACCGTGCGCCAGCCAGTAGCGACAAGAAAACACTGAAGAGGTGGTTTTTCATTGACAAAAGAGTCGGATAGAGAAGCGCTTTGGAAGAGACCTTGTTAAGAATAAAATCTTCCCTTAGTTGTCGTTTGAAGAACTGTGGTGTTTTATGGAGTTGAACTCGAATCACACGTCTTCTGTTCTCACTGACCCTGCGCCGGTCAACAAATCCAGACTCGGCGTACCTTCGGCTTTGGTGCCTTTTTCGCAGTCAGCCACTTCGTTCTCGTCTGGAAAATTTATAATGTCTCCAAGGAGGAAGCTTGCTAAGATCGACGACGTTAGGTCCAACGGTTGGTTGGATGCCATGAAATCCTCGTCGCCACCACGGAAGAAGCTCATCAAGGATTTCAATGTGGAGGTTGCTACAGAAGATGATTTTGCTCACCGGAAATGGCTGGTAACATCTCATCTTCTGACTGTCAACCGTTTTGACCTCCTCATTTTTCGGTTCTGTATCCTATAATTTCTAATCCGAGCTCCGGTCTCTGATGCGAACAGCTCAAGTATCCTTCGGCAATCAGCTCATTTGGTCATATTGCAGCTCAAGCAAGGAACAAGAAGATAGCTGTATTTCTAGACTATGATGGGACACTTTCTCCCATAGTAGATGACCCTGATCGCGCCATTATGTCTGATTCTGTAAGAGGATTATAACCTTCTTCCCTGTCGATACGTTTGCCAAAATTTGCTATCTTGTGTGCTCTCCTGTCTGAAATTCATGTTTTACTCCTTTCTTCAGATGCGTGCAGCGGTTAAAGATTTAGCAAAGTATTTTCCTACAGCAATAATTAGCGGTAGAAGTCGTGACAAGGTAAACTGATAATTCGGATTTTGGTATCTACGGAATGAAATGCATTACAAGTGTTTGGCAGAGTTGAAGAGATACAGTTTTTGCTCAAGCAGGTCTTCAAGTTGGTAGGACTAACTGAACTGTATTACGCCGGTAGTCATGGAATGGACATCATGACCCCTGGAAATGGTAGTGTGTCCCCTGACGACCCCAACTGTATTAAATCTACTGACCAACAGGTAGAATTATGGCTCTAAAATCCATTGTGTTGTTCTCTCTTTCTGTAAAAGATGGACTCTTTATAACCTTTCTTTTGGTTGTTCAGGGTAAGGAGGTGAACCTCTTTCAACCTGCTAGAGAATTCATACAAGTGATCCACGAGGTTTTTAGCTCTCTCGTCGAGAAAACAAAGGGTATTAAAGGGGCAAAAGTAGAGAACCACAAGTTTTGTGCATCCGTACATTACCGTAACGTTGAGGAGAAGGTAAAAAAAAAACTCCGTTTCGTTTCATGGATCAAACCCAGTTTCTTTCAAAGCTCACACTCTTTGTCATCTTCCCTGGAGTCAGGACTGGTCTACCATTGCTCAACTCGTCCATGACCTCTTGAAACAGTACCCTCGTCTTCGTCTGACTCATGGGAGGAAGGTATGCATTCCGAGGCACTAGTTTAACATTTTAAACGTATACAAATCGGCATAAATCTTATAAATCTAGACTTTGAAATCTGATTTGGGCAATCCAACAGTTTCAACTCTTACCCGTTTTTTTGACAAAATCATCGTTATATTATCAGGTTTTAGAGGTTCGTCCTGTGATTGACTGGAACAAAGGAAAAGCAGTCGAGTTTCTGCTCGAATCTCTCGGTACAGCTATATGTCTCATTGATGCCTTTCTCCATACACCGTTACACAAAAACAATGTCAGAGGATTTTGGTTTTTGCACTGATCACAATACCGAACCCTTCTTTCAGGACTGAGTAACAACGACGAGGTGCTCCCAATTTACATTGGGGACGACAAGACAGATGAAGACGCATTCAAGGTAAGTTCTTCTCCTTTTGTGCCTTTCTCCAACCGAAATCAACCACTGAAACGACCGTGTTATTAAACCCGTATAGGTGTTAAGAGAAGGAAGATGTGGATTTGGCATATTGGTATCGACCGCACCCAAAGAAAGCAATGCCTTCTACTCTGTCAGAGACCCTTCCGAGGTAACTTGCTCTTGTTCTATCTGTTAACACAGTCTCGTTGGCTTAAAGATAAATCAACACAAGTTCCCTTGATGGAATCTGAATTAAGTTTTATATCTTGATAGAGTGATCATGTGTATGTATATGTGTATACACACACACATATATATATATGTAGAGGCGTTATAACTATGTTTCACCATGTGGGGTTTGCTCTGCTGCAGGTGAAGAAGTTTCTGAAGACATTGGTGAAGTGGGCAAAGGTTGAAAAATCCACTGGTTATTAAATTGGTTGTGAACGATGAACGGCGAGGCCCTCCTCCTCTCTACTTTAGCCTTTTTTTTTTAAACCCCTAGTTCGCCCCTACAAATTTTATTTTAGTTTTACTTTTTATAATTTTCATTTTTTCCCCCACCCCATGAAGGGTTTAATTGATTACTCTCCAGATTTCTATTACACTGTTAATTATTAATTTCATATAATAAGTTGGCTGATTATGTACATCTGGGCCTTGTTTCCACGTGATTGAGAATCCAAGCCCAATGCAAGACCACTGTCTGATTATGTACATTCACATGCATCAGTGCGTAATCATTAACACCATCTTAATCCTGTAATTATAAATTTTGCTTTTTTATTATTATTATAATTTGATGCGTTAATGACGCTCCCGGCATTGAATGCATGCAAACGCAACCATCATGGTGCTCGGTTTTTCCATATATCAATGTTTCGTCTTGTGCTATTATTATCCCATTCCCACCTGCTGGTTTAGCGCACAATAAAAGTTCCATTAAATACTAACCAAAAAAAAAAAGCATAACATGCCCTTACGTACAAAGTTTACGCAGACAAAATGATTCGATTTTTTTTTTAATGATTTATAAAATTCATTGCAACACAAAAAAAATATATAATTAAGAGTGAAAAATATATTTTTTGTTTGCATTTCTCCAACCGCCCTCTTGGAATCTAATCAACTTTTTTCCTATGAATAAACAACTGAATTTGCAAATTTCAAAAGAATATCTCGCTTGGTCATAATCTTCATCATTATCACAGAGTAGCACAACTTTTCTACATCAAAATCCGTTGAAAAATCGAAATAAGGGATTCAGGTTGATTTTATAAAAATATGCTGATTCGTCATTAAAATTAATTCGATTCGGTATTCGGGATTAATGTATTCGGTAAAAATAATATTCTGTCCAATTATATAAAATTACAGCCTGTCGATGATATCTATATAATATCATCATAATAATAAAAAAAATCATTGTAATTGTAATTGTAATGGATTCTAAAGATGTGAAGTGTTATAGCAGTGGTGTTTGGTAAGAAATCTGAATCTACTTAAAAAGCTTACCATTATATATTTTGTAATTAATTAATATGGCAAAAAAAAAAAAAGGGTTGTATTTGTGTGGTTGGCAGTCACGTGGCACATCTGCAGAAGCTTACCGTTGCCTCACAAATCTGGCTGTATCTTATCAACAACACTAGTCAAACATTCTTAAAACAAATAAAATACTATTTCAAGTTTATTTAAATCTAATTATATAAAAAGTACTAATTAATTAATCAATCAATCATGTCGAGAGATAGACATAGCAAGAGATTAGTTTTTTTTTTTGTAATTTACAGATAAATAAAAAATCAAAATTAAAAATATTTTAAATAATGTTTAAAATAAAAAAATCTAAACAAAATTAAATTAAAAAAACTAAATCAAAATCCAACGTATAATTTTTCTATAAATATTAAAATAAATTAAAATCCGAAATATTGGTGCATACTGCCAATATTCCATTAACTGTTTAACAAAACTTTAAGCCACGAATTCTATGGCAAGGGAAAAAGTGGGCAAGCTTTTTTGTCGTAATTTATACAACTATGAAATTTATGCATGGAGAACAATCAAAATTATAGTTATGATTATTATTTTCATTTATACAGAATCATGGTTCTTATTCCAAATTTGCCAGCGCGTTTGCATACATGTAGAGGAAAAATAAATACGGTACACAAAATATTATTCGCGAAAATTGTCAATATATACATATATATAGAAAATGATTGCAATAAAGGTCAAGCCATGCTGGCTGGCTGTCACGCATTATTGCTATTTTAGAGAAATGTATACATTATGTGTTTTTTTCAAGTCCAGCTTTAAAATAATTTATAACCCTTTTGTATATTTGTTGGGAATAAAGAATTTAAATGTCACACCGACAAAATAATATTGGGTTTAATTTTTATTTTCAAGATATTGGCTGTAAATAAGGAATATGATATCCCATTATTTTTCTAAAAAAATATTACTTACAAATACTCAAAACGATGTTGGATCAGCTTCTGTTCTCTGTCCAGATTAGTAAATTGCCAAATACCCTCTCCCTCTCTCTCTCTCTCTCTCTCTCTCTCTCTCTCACGCACGCTCGCCCTCGCCTGGTCATTTCATTTGCCCTCAGTCTAGCTTCTTCTTCTTCTTCATCTCATGCATCTGATAATATAAATCCAGAAGAGAAGTGAACAAACCGGATATAAATCAGCTACATTGTCTGTTATTCACAACAAGAGAGCAAAGAACCCGCTAAGAGGGAATGGGTTTATCTGGAATCCTGCTGCTGTTCCTTGTCAACGTCGGGCTGTGTTTCGCTGCAGATCCGTTTGTCTTCTACGACTTTGAAGTTTCTTACATTACTGCTTCGCCACTCGGCGTGCCTCAGCAGGTATGTTCTACTTCCTCAGATCCCTGATTCTGCCATTTGGCTTTTGCTGTTGTTTTACCCTCTGGATTTAAAGATTTAGAAGTGGTTACTGAAATTTGGTTTCTGGGTTCTGCTTAAGTTCCTTCAGATTTCGCTTCTTGGATTTGATTTGCCCCCTCCATTGTATAGAGATGAACTGCAATTTCCAAGGAGCTAAAGATTCTTGCTTCTTGATTTTTCTTTCCATTTTCAATAGTTTCAATCTTCACTCGGTGTGCTTTCTTCTCTATATCGCAGATGGGTATCTTTCAGGTTTATAAAAAAGTTCATTGTCTTTTGCTTCTGGGAATGCTTGATTTTCATCAATGGAACTAATGCTTTTAGATCTGAGAAAGTTTTGCATATTTTTCTCGAGTATGCTTGTTTTCTTTTGGATTTTTCAAAAGTTTCATACTTTGGCTTCTGGATGTACCTAGATTTCGAGCAATGATGAATTATTTGCCTACAGATTTAAATAAAGATTCAATTTTTAGCTCCAGATCTGAGTAAATAAAAGTGTTTTGAGACAAAAGCTTGTCTGGTAATAATCTTCTGATCTAAGCATAATCAGGGTTCTATTTAGGAGCTCTAATGGAATCTCTGTTTTGCTCTGCAACAGGTAATTGCCATTAACGGAAAGTTTCCGGGACCTACCATTAATGTTACGACCAACAACAATGTAGTCGTCAATGTCAGAAACAAGTTGGATGAGGGCCTCCTCCTCCACTGGTGAGAAACCGGAGAATGAACTTTGAGAATGCAGAGTGAAAAATCCTTACTTTTAGATTGGGTAACATGAAAAGTTCCTTGATTCATACAGGTCCGGAATTCAACAGAGGCGTGTTTCATGGCAAGATGGAGTTGCGGGAACCAACTGCCCTATTCCTCCAAAGTGGAACTGGACTTACCAGTTTCAGGTGAAGGACCAAATTGGAAGTTTCTTCTACTTCCCATCTCTCCATTTCCAGAGAGCATCTGGTGGTTTCGGCTCATTCATCGTCAACAACAGGCCTATAATTCCAATTCCATTCCCGACCCCGGATGGGGATATCACCATTTTGATCGGTGATTGGTACACGAGGAACCACACGGTTAGTAGTAGCTGGTTTTTCGAGTTACCGAAGCTACCGTGTATAAGTTCCTTCCTTGTTGCTGATGTGAAATGCTTTTCATGACGGTTGTTAGGCATTGAGGAAGGCTTTAGATGACGGGAAAGATCTCGGAATGCCGGACGGCGTTCTCATTAATGGAAAGGGTCCCTACCAATACAATCGGACTCTCGTTTCTGATGGGATTGATTACGAAACCATCACAGTCCATCCTGGTGAGTAATAAGTGATAGCATCTGAGGCTTACTTGTTTCACTTATTAGCTCTAAAAGATACTCCAATCTTAGAAGCTTCATTTTTTGGGTTTAAGTTGAACAATGCTGGTTCCTGAAACAGGAAAAACCTACAGAATTCGGGTGTCCAATGTTGGAATTTCCACCAGCTTGAATTTCAGGATTCAGAATCACAATTTGCTTCTTGCGGAAACCGAGGGATCATACACGGTTCAACAAAACTACACTAGCTTGGACATACATGTCGGCCAGACGTTCTCCTTCCTGGTCACGATGGATCAAAACACGAGTACCGACTACTACATTGTCGCCAGTGCTCGGTTTGTCAATGAATCCAGATGGAGGAGAGTCACTGGAGTTGGAATTTTACAATATACTAACTCTAAAGGAAAGGCCAGAGGTCCCTTACCCGATGCACCAAATGATGAATTTGACAAGACTTTCTCCATGAACCAAGCAAGATCGATCAGGTTGGTGTTACCCTTACGTAAACACACAAGTTTTCCTTCTTCTATCAGTGAAATAATCACAGTTTCTGCATAATATGGACTGAAATTTCTGCAGGTGGAATGTATCGGCTAGTGGGGCACGTCCGAACCCTCAAGGTTCATTTAAGTATGGCTCAATCAATGTGACTGAAGTCTACGTCTTGAGGAACGTTCCACCTGTCAAGATTAACGGGAAAAGACGAACGACTCTTAGCGGCGTGTCATTTGTGAACCCTTCTACACCGATCAGGCTAGCTGATCAGTTCAAACTCAAGGGAATCTATAAGCTTGATTTCCCGACGAGGCCGTTAACTGGACCGCCCAAAATGGAGACATCTGTTATCAATGGAACATATCGTGGCTTCATGGAAGTCATTCTTCAGAACAACGAAACCAGGATGCAAAGCTATCACATGAATGGTTACGCCTTCTTTGTTGTCGGGTAAGACATTTTTCATTCTCTTTCTCAACCTCAACACACGGTGTTTACTTGAATATCTCGTCTGTAAGATGCTCGATATCTTATTCAGCTAACAAAATGAAAAGGACACTGTTTCAGATGTTTTCCTAGCCGATATACATCGAAGATACCGGTATCTTGATAATGGTTTCGTTCCTGTGATGTTCTGAAAACCGGTTCTTGACCCAATCGTCTTGCAGTATGGATTACGGAGAATGGACAGAGAATAGCAGAGGAACATACAACAAATGGGATGGGATTGCTCGATCCACCATTCAGGTGACAAATCAAATCTCTCATAGATCCTTGGAATTAGAATCTTTTCACTGACAAAGAAGACTGCTTGGTGAATGCAATTCATAATCGATCTGTCTCATTTTACAATCGTGTAGGTCTATCCAGGTGCATGGACGGCGATCTTGATTTCGCTGGACAACGTCGGAGTGTGGAATATCAGAACAGAGAATCTTGATTCATGGTACCTCGGCCAAGAAACATACATTAGAGTCGTCAACCCAGAGAACAACAACAAGACCGAGTTCCCAATGCCCGACAACGTCCTCTACTGCGGCGCCCTCGGCAAACTTCAAAAGTAAGCTCGAAACCGAACTAAACCCTCTCGAGATACACCGATATCCGTTAGAAATCCTGTCCCAAAAAATCGTATTTGTGTTACAGGCCGCAGCGCATTTCATCTGCGTCGAAAATATCAGACTTTGGAATGACGACGATCTTCATGATGATGGGATTACATGCTGCGGCTATGTTGCTTCTCCGTTAACACTCTCTCCGTTTTAAGAAGACGCATCTGATTGATGGGTTTGAGTCAGTTCAGTTTTTTTTTTTTTTTTGGTATGCGTGTGCGTTTTCTGTGTTTGTGAAGTTTTAAGGTAATGTAGTTTGATTTTTCATTAATCTAGGGTTTTGTTCATACTGAAACCAAGAGAGAGAAATTCTTCTTTGATTCTTATGTCGTTTCCAAGATCTGTTTTTTTTTTTTTTTTTGGTGGGATTTGATCTGTTGGTTTATTCTTTTTTAGAATACATTGATTCTGAGGTAAAAAAGATTCATCATTTTATTAAAAACAAATGCAGCCTTTCAGTTTTTATCTGTTTGTTTTGTAAGATTACACTTCCATTATTTTGATTACATATCATGACCCAGAATAATCCAAATAATTTATAATATGCATTCTTTCTCCAAAACCATATTAATCCTCGGATCCGGAACTAATCAGCTGATTTAGAATATACGTTTTTTTTTTCGAATTCGAGATAACATAGACCTTTTGGATCTCCGTTTTACCGGTTAAACTACATAAATTTGAATGATTATTATCTTCTTTGGAAAGCTAAAGAAAATGAAAGTTGTAAACTTTATAAAAGATTTTGTCAAAAGATTTAAATTTGGAAGGGGAATAAATAAATAAATAAATAAATATTCGTTGTATCAGATGCGGACATAACAAAAAAAATTGAATTCGGAACATTATCATCACCAACTATTTATACAAATAGAAATAGCAACCCTTTTTTGTAAAGAAAAAAAATGTGTGTGTATATATATATATATATATGTAATATATGTACGAGAGAGGACACAAAATCTGGCCTGGATATTTTTATTTTTATTTATATTTTTTCTGCGGAAAAAATAAAAAGACAATGAGGTCCCAAAAGGGATGGATATTCAGTATGTAATGTTTTGTGTCTTCAATTTCTGTCCTCTTTTTTATTTCAGCTTTTTGTCTTTCTGCCAACTCAATTTTGGATTTTTCAACCATTTTCCTTTCCCCTTTTATGTTTTTTTTCCGCCATTTCTGTTACATTTTTTTGTCTGCATTATACAGATTCTATATCAATATGAACATGGCACAGAAGCCGCATTGAGGTTTGAAACATGTAAACATGGTGAATATATATATATATATATATATATATATATATGTATGTATGTATATTTGATAATCGGTAACCAAGGTGAATGAATATACGTCAAGGCCAAATATATGTAATATTAGCGCCCTTTTGTGGTCGGCAAAAGAATGTGTATGTTATATATATATATATTATAAGAATGTGTATGTTATATATATATATATATTATATAAAGTCATGGGATTAGATCCAATCTGACGTGATTTGTTCGTCATAGTCAGCGGCAGTCAAAATCGACGCACGTGTGAATCTCTATTACGAAAAATGGGCCGTTTCGAACTCAAGTTGGATTTGTCAACTGGCCCTTGTATCAGCTCATTGGGCCCTTAGATTTCTTTTCGGTATTCAAATTTGGGCCTTTTCACTTGCGTCTTCGGCCCTCCACGTGGCGTTAATCCCATATATCCAAAAAATCATAGGGATTATTACGAAATTTCCAAAGAAATGCCAAAAACAATTGTTGATAATAAAGAATGTTAAATACGCAGGCATTTATTTTTGTATATATGTAAGTGTGGAATACGAATATGGTTCCCATCATTTATTAAAAAAATAGTATTCAATCTAAAGTTGCTAGCAATTAAATCTTTAGGTCAATGGGTTTACAATGGCATAATAATTAAAATATTTGTTGTCTACCATAATTTTGACATCTATATATTTATCCGTCGTCTTCCTAAAATCATGGAAATTGATATATTTTCAAATTTTAATATTGTGTATAGCCAATGTTACCATATGTTTGATGATAATTAAGTAGTTAGTTGTCGGATTATTAAATTTAATATTAATATTAAATTCAAAAACAAAGTGAGCAGCGATCCGTGATGGGTGGATTAACAACAAATTAGCAAAACTGTGAAGATCCCAATTTTTTTATTGTCGTCTTGTCTACCAAACAAATACATTAGCTGTTCGTATTTTTGTCCTTCTTGTCATGTTCCATGTTTTTATTGGGCCACGTGTCTTGTTCTTCACCACCCGCTATATATACACACACACACGAATCATTCTAGCTAGTTAAGATATAAATTTGATTTTAATTTAAAATATTCGACTTATAATCTTTAAACTAAATAATACCCGAACTTATAAAAATCAATATATATTGATTCTATTAAAACATCAATTTCTGTATTTTTCCCATATCCGTCCAAAAAAAAATCAACCAACGCAATGGGTAAATATAAGTAATTACTTAAATGAAAAACTAATTATGTGATTAAAAATACTCGCCATAATAATGATAATAATCGACAAGTGCATGTTCCATTCTGAAAAGAACATGAGACTATTACATGACATGTGTGCAGATTTTGTAAACTGGTTATAGATATGAGCATGATCTCCTAGTTTTTTGAAGATCTTATATTCCTCATGTTGGTGGGTAAACTTGGAAGCCAACAACATATCAATATGCCTGGTTATACGTGAATGTGCGTATACACACACACACACACACACATATATATATATATATAGGATCTTGAAGCTTCTATATATATTTTGATTAATTTCTCGTACAAAATGGAGAAATGTACTTACCGGAGAAAGATCATAAATAAAACTATAGAATGATTTCGCTATGAAAGTCTTGTTGACCAAAAATGATTATTTAATTTCTTATAATAAATATAGCTTGTATGTAAAAGTCTCTACGATGAATCCTATAAGTTAACATTAATTATCTTGACAAATAAACCAAAAACTTTATACAAATGGAATATTTTCCTTAAATTAAATAAAACTTTATACTTGCAAATATTTTGAAAAAATGATATGATAAATATATATATATATATATATACACACACGTGTATGTGTATTCATACAATTTTGGGAGCTGAAAAAAAAATTGTAAGATAAGAACACACCACGGATGTTGTGTACCGAATAATACATTAGGTACACAAAAGTACATAAAATTGTTACTTTCCATCCTTCCATTTGATAAAGTGTCGGAATTTTTATCTCCTTTTTCCGATCCCCAATTAAATATCCATTTTTTTCTCGTGCGTTTTCCGTTTTTGCGTCTTAATTTTCTCTGAGATTTGGAATATTTTGGATATTGGAAAAAAAATAAAATATTTTGGGAATTTGCTAAAGGAGACGTGTGCGTGTGTGGTTGATGTTCATATGTCGACGACGCCCCACTATCTTTACCATTTCATGATTCGTCTCACTAATATTTTTGTTTTCGTATATTTGTGAAAAATAAGCCATACATAATTCCTTTAAAATGCGATTATTGGTGACCAAATTAGTAATTTGAAATGAAATATTGATTCATTTGTGGTCTTACCTCATCATCATACATAACAATGTCAATCATTGTTATTTTAAATATATTTTTTTAATGTTATTTAATACTATTGCATTAAGTAGAACGAAAAATCATTGTTAATGAAATTAGTCTACATGTACACATGACACGAGATAGTGATAACTAACATTTTATGAGAAACAATATTATTATTATTATTAAAAAAACAATAGCATGCATGCACTTTTTTTATGGCATGGTACCAAAATTCATAAATCTTTGGGGAAAATAGAATATATTTTTTTAATATTTTGAAAGAGAGAGGACCACTTTCTGTGTATGCGATCGCACGCGCCGTGCCTACCGCCGACCAAATCCTCTCTCCAACACACATGCATGCATGGCTCTTGTTTTCATCTTCTTTTTAATCTCCATCATAATATATTTTCCTATTCTATATTCTCGAATCTCCAAACAAATTCATTGAGATTTTTTTCCCTTTTAATTTCTATATACGTTGTTTTCACTTTCAGTTTCTCCCCTTGTGCTAGATGTTAAACCATTATAATATGCATCATCCGGTTGTTTTCAATTCATATAATATGTATTATTTTGAATGGAAAATAGTGATTAAAGGGAAAAAAAAACATTGCTTCGTTGGTGATTTATGGGAGGACCAAAACACGAAACTATATAGCACGTGTACGTGCGTATATGATATCGATCGATCATTAACAATAGTAGATGAAAATTTACCGCGAATCCAACAGTTGGTGGTTCGGTAGTTGAAAGATTACAAAATCATCCTCAAAATCATGAGTTCCATTTTACTGGTGAGGAGGAGAGGATGTAATTAATTGCGTGACTAAAGACTGACTGATTCCGGATTCAAAAAAATTAAGTAAGACGAAGGTCTAGTAAACCTCTTAGTTAAAAAAAAATAAAAAATTCTACCGTGACCATATCTCACATCCTCGTGCAAACGAATAGTATCTCTAAGTTGAATTAGTTGTCTCTTCAACCATTTGGCCACTACTGACGAAACGTAAGGTTTGCCTTCTAATCGATATGCAAGAAGAGTGGATGTATATGCATATATAGAAGATACCAAAACAACGATTCATCATTTCTATCTTAATTTGTGAAAACTATACATTAATTGAATATTAGCCGATCAATAATTAGAATGACACCAATTCAAAGTAAATCGAAATAAAAGATATATATCAAAAGATCTGAAAATGGGTTTCAGAATCTTGCAAGGTTGACCAAAAGAATATGTTGCTTTGTACAATGTAGAACAAGTCAAAGACTTATAAACATGAATATTCATTGATTATGCCATGGATTAAATATTTGGCATAACATAAATTTGATTCAAAACAAGTGCTAAAAACGTATTTGAACAACTTCAATATTAATAAAAATAATTTTCTTGTATAGGGTCAAATTTAAGTATAAATGGTCAAAAGGAGAGACATATTGTACATAGATGGTAAATGCGTCATTTTAAATTAAACATTTGTTTTCGTAAAATATCTTCAATGAGTATACATACATGCACAGCGCGCTATAGTAATAAATCAAAATTTAAAATATGAACAAAGTAATTGTGGCATATCATATGCAATAACACACGCGCGGGCGCGTGCATAGACGCTGATATTCAACAGTCGTCGCTATAAATAGAGTTTGCCCCAACCCCACAAGCCAAAGCAGTCTTCCTCTTCCTCTCGAACTCCATCAACAACAGAGTCCAAACAAACATTTGTCCGAATTCAAAGTATTATTAAACCTCTGTAACATCGATTCAAATTCCTTCTCCAGACAAAACCCATCTCGCAAAATCCGTTTTTCAGACATACCCATTTCGAAAAATCCTTTCTTTTTGTTCTGGTTCTTAGAATCCGGCCAACCATGAAGAGGCTCCGAGGTTTCAAGATCGGACACAGATTCTTCAAGATCTTCAAATGGATAGTCCGGCCCAGAAGGATCAAACCCGGGAAGCACATTTACCAGACCCGAGTTCCCAACCCGGTCGCCGGAATCTGTTCCTTAGCCCGCTGTCTGCGTCGCGGTGCCAAAAGACTCTGCGGCAAGAACACGAGTCCGGGTACGGATAAGATCCGGTTGGGGAAGGGCTCAAACTCGGCGGCGGTTGTTCCGAAGGGGCATTTGGCGGTCTACGTGGGGGAGTCAGGAGGCGACACGCGTCGGGTGGTGGTGCCGGTTATATATTTCAACCACCCATTGTTCGGGGAATTGCTGGATCAAGCGGAACGGGTTTACGGGTTCGAACAACCGGGTCGGATCACGATCCCTTGTCGGGTCTCTGATTTCGAGAAGGTTCAGATGAGGATCGCCGCGTGGGATCACTGCCGCCGGAAGCGGAGTTGCAAGATTCTCTGTAGTTTTTAACGTGGTGAAATAAATGAGTCAAGAGAAGAAGAATAGTTTTTTTTTGGTTTGTGAATATTTATTTAGTTTTGGTGTTTCTGGTGATATACCATATACCATACAAATCGATCATTGAAAGAAGTACTTTGTATCAGTTTCTTTCATAAAAATCCAGAAATTTTCTGATTTCCAGGACTTCTTCTCCCAACTTCAAACGATTTCAATTAAATAGGAAAATGTACATTTTTATAAGAAGAATAACAGAAATTTGTATAGAAATGTCTATTACAGTCTTGATAAAAACAAGGCAAATCAAGATGTATTAACCAATTCATGGTTGAACACGCAATTCTCATCCCACATCCCAAAGTTTGAGCGCCGAACAAGACTCCAATGCATGGTTACACTACTTACATCATACTGGGAACTTGGGAAGTTTGAAATATTTAATAAATATTAGGTTTATTCAATTGTGGCCTCACTTTCATTAAATGTTTCAATAATTTTAATTTCTTCCATCCATAAGCTGGAATAGCTCAGTTGGTTAGAGCGTGTGGCTGTTAACCACAAGGTCGGAGGTTCAACCCCTCCTTCTAGCGTTCTTTTTTATTTATAATTTGCATTGAAGTTTATAAATTGCATAAAATCGAAATAATGATGGCGATAACGCATAATATTATATGCTTGGAAAATAGTAGATTGCATAATTAGTACTTTTTTTGTGGAAAATCTGCCACTAATTTTACGTATAAAAAGCTGATATATTTATAGAGAATAATCATCCAAAATTGAAACCCATTTTATTTTGTTTTGTGTGGAAACTTGAAACTGTATACCAATATGGAAAACCGAACCGGGACAGACCAGCCCTGATGAGTGACATTCGTGACCCCGCAACCAAACAGCCCCCTTTTCTCTCTCTCTCTCTCTCTTAAGAACCTTCGAGAACCTCACCAGAACTCTCTTACCCTAGAGGCCCGGACTCTTCGCTTCCTCTTTCCCCCTTTCTATAATTCCCCGTCTTTTCCATCGTAATTCATGAAAGTTCGTCCTTTTCGATTCCTGGAAAATCCTCGTAGCTAAACGAAAGCCAGTGCTCATCAATTGTTCCCGTCCGAATCTCTCCAAGCGATGGCGGACGAAGCGAAAGCCAAAGGAAATGCGGCGTTCTCCTCCTGCGATTTCGTCGCCGCTGTTACCCACTTCACGGAGGCGATTGGTCTTGCTCCGACAAACCACGTCCTCTACTCTAACCGATCTGCGGCGTACGCCTCGCTCCACAAGTACGCAGATGCTTTGGACGACGCGAAGAAGACGGTGGAACTCAAACCGGATTGGCCCAAAGGGTACAGCCGTCTCGGCGCTGCGTACATAGGGTTGAACCAGTTCAGCGATGCGATCGATGCGTACAAGAAGGGTTTGCAGATTGATCCCAACAATGAGACCCTCAAATCCGGGTTAGCTGATGCGGAATCGGCCGCCTCTAGATCACGCGGGTCGGCGTCGGCGAATCCATTCGGGGACGTGTTCCAGGGTCCGGAGATGTGGGCGAAGTTGACGGCGGATCCCAGCACAAGGGGTTACTTGCAGCAGCCTGATTTCGTGAAGATGATGCAGGATATTCAGAAAAACCCTAGTAATCTCAATCTTTATCTGAAGGATCAGAGGGTGATGCAGGCTCTTGGGGTTTTGTTGAATGTTAAGTTCAAGGCGCCGACTGGAGAAGACACGGAGATGCCGGAGGCGGAGTCATCTCCGACGCCGAGGAAGGAGCCGGAGCGGGAGAAGAAGCCGGAACCTGTGCCGGAGCCAGAACCGATGGAGTTATCGGAGGAAGAGGAGAGGAAACAGAAAGCCCGGAAGGAGAAAGAGCTCGGAAACGCTGCTTACAAGAAGAAGGATTTCGAGACTGCTATTGAGCATTACACAAAGGCTACGGAGCTCGATGATGAAGACATATCATATCTCACGAATCGTGCTGCGGTTTATCTTGAAATGGGAAAGGTAATTGCTTTAGCTTGTTAAAAGTTTTGATCTTTGTGCCGTTATCTATTCTGTTAAAAATGGTTCTTTGTTTGGTTTAGTAATAGTCAGATTTGAGTGTTGATTTGTCTGAAGTCGGGAATTCGGGGTTTATTTGGACTGTTAGGGTATTTACATAGGTGGGAGCTTCATGGATGATGGATCATAATGGATTTGACTTGCTTCGAGCTGGAAATTGAGAGTTGATTGTGAGGTTATTTTCTAGATACTGAAGTAGAGATCATTGTTGACTAGATTTACTTCCATTGTGGTCATTTATCAGGCTTAGATCATGTAAAAATTTGGCATTTCTTCGTATGTTTCTGCTGTCTCTCTCTCTCCTATTATTTTGGGCATTGTATTTGGGTTAGGCTGGTTAATCTGCTTGTTGTTACACTTTGTTTATTTGGTTGGCTGGTGATTATGAGGAAATTCTGTCTTGTCTGATCCAGTATGATGAGTGCATTAAAGACTGTGACAAGGCGGTGGAAAGAGGAAGAGAGCTTCGTTCTGACTTCAAGATGGTAGCGAGGGCCCTCACTAGGAAGGGAACAGCTCTTGTAAAATTGGCAAAGTGCTCCAAGGACTATGAACCTGCCATTGAAACCTTCCAGAAAGCTCTGACCGAGCACCGTAACCCAGACACTTTGAAAAAGCTGAATGAGGCAGAGAGAGCCAAAAAGGAGTTGGAACAACAAGAATACTTCGATCCAAAGATAGCTGATGAGGAGCGTGAAAAAGGTATCGTCCTTAGGTTATGACCTTGCCTGTGGTTTTCATCTACCGTTTTTCTCTTGTGAAACATATCGGATAGTCGAAATTCCGGGATTAGTGTTCACTGACAAACGCTTTTGCCGGCTTTGATCCATTTCAGGTAATGAATTCTTCAAGGAGCAGAAGTATCCAGAAGCTGTGAAACACTATACAGAAGCAGTTAAAAGAAACCCGAATGATCCAAGGGTAAGGAAGTTGCATGAGCTAATAGAGATATGATATGCAACATACCGAGCGATGTATCTTGTGGGGGCTTGCATAATGCATATGATGATGAAATGAGCATTTACTAGAATGTTTTTTCTGTGTGTTTGATTGTTTACAGGCATACAGCAACAGAGCTGCATGTTACACGAAATTAGGAGCATTGCCTGAAGGATTGAAGGACGCTGAAAAGTGCATTGAGCTAGACCCAACCTTCACGAAAGGGTACAGCCGGAAAGGAGCTGTCCAGTTCTTCATGAAGGAGTATGATAAAGCCATGGAGACATACCAAGAAGGGCTGAAGCATGATCCTAAGAACCAGGAGTTGCTCGATGGAGTCAGAAGGTGTGCATCTTCCTACTAACGAGAGACATATGTATGGGATCGATTATGCTGAATGCGTTGCTTTCAGGTGTGTGGAGCAGGTCAACAAGGCGAATCGTGGTGATCTGAGCCCAGAAGAATTGAAGGAGAGACAGGTGAAAAAAACAAGAAACAAAGCCTTGCTAGTTGATCATATGATTGGATATTCATCATGTTTGTCCGTTTCTTGAGTATTGATCGTCACTGAAATGTGCCAGGCCAAGGCAATGCAAGATCCAGAGATCCAGAACATACTGTCGGATCCAGTGATGAGACAGGTAAAAAGAGGATGAGGATGATGATGATTTGGCTGAAGTTATGAATAACAAAGAAGACTCAAAACGAGATTGAATTGCAATGCAGGTATTGGTTGACTTCCAAGAGAACCCAAAGGCGGCGCAAGAGCACATGAAGAACCCCATGGTGATGAACAAGATTCAGAAACTGGTCAGCGCTGGCATTGTCCAGGTCCGTTAATTTCGTTACCACACCATTGTTGGTGGTGGTGGCCTTGTGAGAATATTTTGCCCCCGTGTTTGAAACAAGAAGACGTTGTATTCTTCCAGTTGGGAATGTTTGGACAAGTTTACCTTGTTAGAACTTGTGCTTGAATTTATAATCTGATCAACTGTTTAATTACGTTATTGCCCATATACACAATATATATATATATATATATATATTATATTCTATATGGTTTGCTCTTTCCAACTGGTTATACCATCTGATTCCCATGAAAAAAGGTTTTTGCAACTGGTTATACAATATATATATATATATATATTCTATATGATTTATCTGTACGATTTTTCTCCTCACGCCATCATGTGTTATTACTTGGAATGTGTACGATCCACCCAAATGAAAGAGTTCCACTCTTTTCCTTTTATTTTCTATTTTAGTTTATTCTACTGATTAAAATTTAATTTTTAATACCCAAATTATTAATGTTTAAAGTATTCGTAAACTGGTTTGGATTATTAATTGTGTAAAAACAATTAAATGGTGGATGCATGGTTCAAGAATTATTGAGCAACAAGGCTTTTATTTGACTAATCTGATGTTTTTTTTTTACCATTTTAAATCTAGTAATCTAGTACTAATCTACCCACCACGAAAAATAAATCCAAAGCCTTACATATATCTTGAATACCGTTAAAATTAGATATTTTGAGCATATATTTTCACGAATAATAAATTAACATTATAAAATTTAAAAATTGGCCGTATTTACATGTTTGCAGTCAAATTGTCTTCGTTACCTCCCCCACGTATAGTTTACAGACATGCAATTTCGTACGCACTACGCAGAAAGCGCTTAAAGAAAAAAGGATTCACTCATTAGTTTGTGACCTGACTACGTCCCATTAATGGACCCTCCATTGTGTTTATGCGGATGCATTTCGAAAGATAACCTCGAGATTTATTTAAATTGAATAAAATTAGCTTTACACAGGAACAAAGTGATAAGATTTGTCTACCTGCCCTCGAAAGGAACGCAGGTTTACGTGGAAAAGTACTTGTAGGTATATATATATATATATATAGAGACGTGTATATATATATATATATATAATCTAATCGTTTCGCTTACATATTTCCTTGTAAAAAAGAGAGGCACTGGACACTAGTGGACACGCGTCCTAACCCTGCTAATCTAGAGATCGAGAAGATAGGGATATGGGGCTTCGATCTTAATCGAGATCTTTGTCTTAGAAGTTGTCTAATATCAAAACCATGGCGATAACATCCACAGCACAAAAACAAGAACATTACAACCCAAAAAGAAACAAAAAAACAAAACCCGAAAACAAACAAACGAACAAAAGACACGCAAGAAAACCCCTAAGGGTTGTTATCAACTATAACAGACGATCTATGCCTATCCGCGAACCGGTTAACAAGAGCCAAGGCATTGCTAGTGACTCGAGCCACATGAACCACACGTCTCCGAATCGCGACCTTCACCACACCGTCCATGGCTCGTCCACCGAACCCATCAAGGCACGTCGTCTCGTCCGTCAGAGCAGCACTCACCCACGTCTCCACGTTGCTCATCCTCCACATGAACTCCGTCCTATCGCCTCCCGGTCCGAGCCGGTTCATCTCCCGTGCCGACTCTGCTAACCGGTCCACACCATCTCCTAGATTCTCTACACAATCTTTCACGGCTAAATACTCTCTCCGTTTGATGTGTCTCGCACAAGCCAGCTTTGAGACGAAGACCGTCGTGGACTTTGCTCGTGCCAAGGTCGTGGCCAGGGCGGCTTGAGCCAGGCGGTGTTCGTTGCGGTGAATCTTGGGAGCGTAAGCCGAGAGGCACTTGACGCAGAGTTTAGGGTAACGTGTGACTCGGCACGAGGAGACGATGAAGCTGATGCTAGGGTTAGATGATGAACTCGAAGGTTTGACTATGGCTGACTCAGAAACTGAGGAGAGCAGGAGGAGGAGAAAAAGAGGCAGGTGGGTTGGTTTTGGTTCCATTGTTGTGTCTTTGGAAGAACGTGGAAATGTGTGTGAGTGAGATTTATTGTTCCAATTTTGTGTATTTGAATAAAAGGGCTTATATTTATGCATTATTTATATGAGCAGTCTTTTTTATATTGTATGCTTCTTTCTAAAATGGTGAGCGGTGACATAATAATACTCCACCGTACATATTTACCACTATACATGATCGATATATAGAGTTGGAGCAGTATAGTTTTTATTTATAAAACGCATTTAATGTATATATATATTGAATCCAAGATGGTGAAAGAAACATTCAAGTAAAAAAAAACAAATATATGTTAATGAAAATGAAAAGATTTTCAACCATGATTTGAGAATCTGTAATATATCGCATGTAGATGATTCCTTTTTAATTTTTGCAAGAAGAAGCATTTAATTTTATGGTCAAATGAATAAAATTTAATGTATATTCAAAAGCTGGAAAAGATGGTTAGGAGTTTATCCTTTTGCCATAGGAAGATGTAAAAGGGACTGTCTTCACACACATGCCTTTAATTGCTTTTGCCATCTTTTTACCAATCATCTTTTATTAAATTATTTTTTTAGGAAATAAATCTGATTTAGTTTCTGAGATCCACTTTAGATAAAGTTCTCTATTTATTTAGAATTAAAGGTGAATTTATAAAATTTTGTTATTGGGAATAAAAATTAAAACAATGAGTTGAATATTTAATAGATTCCATTATTTCAAATTTTACTCCGTACATTAGCGATATTGTATGTATATTATTTATAAATAATAAAATACATTGTAATTATTGGGGTCAAATGAAAACCTTTAACTTTGACCTTTACAACAAAAGCTTTATAAATGGACATGGTAAGGATAAAATGGACATAGATTTTGCCCCATAAGCCCAAACCCAAGCCCAATAGAATTAATTGTCTTTCGCCTAATATTATTTTTCCCGAGTTTAAATAAAATAAGAATGTTAGGTTTGATTATTTAGCCCATGTAAATTCTCCCATGGCACAGAATATATACATATATATACAGTATTTGTATCATGAACTACTATAAGTGATATAATGATTTTTATAGGATGTTTACGATCGTTCATTGTAAAAGTATTTATAATATATGATTAAAATAAAAAAATGTTATGTTGGGACGAGGGTATGACATTTGAAAATATAATGAAAAGGGATGCAAAGCGTTTGTATTGTTCTAAATTCGAGACTCAAATTGGAAAGGAGAATATATATTCTAATCACATAGTTTATTCGCAGTTCCGAAATTAGTATAGACTTTGGTCCAAAACATCCGATTATCAAAAAAAAAATATCTTGAATATGTGAGTTCATGTCTTAGGTATAGTTTGTTCATTGCCTCGGTCAGTTGAATGATCAAAACAAAATAATTTAAGGTCTTATATTAACGTTTTCGGTCAACTATAACACATGTTAATACTGATCAATGATGCTATGCACGTTCCAAATCAGCTATATATATACACACGTATACGCGTATATTCCTAAAGACGTGCACAAAGTCGAGAGAGAGAGAGAGGGCCAAGCTTAAACGACAAGACCAGAGGAACAAGTTTAGCGTTTGCGTTTGCGCTTGTACCATGGCTTTAACTAAGACGAGTTGGGCTGTGGTTGCTTTTGCCGTTGCAGTGGCGATGGCGATTTCATCGCCGTTGGTGGAGGCGCAAACGCCGAATAACGCGTGTGCGGTATCGTTGATGCCCTTTGTGACGAACTGCTTCTTGGACGTGAGCGCGTCGCCGACCGCTGAGTGCTGCGGTATGTTGAAGGCCGCGACCACGACGCAAGTGCGTTGCATTTGTGACACTTACGTCAATCACAATAGCGAATACGCCAATCTCACTCAACCTATCCTTACCGGCGTTTTCAACCAATGCGGTCTCCCGGATAAACTCTCCTGCGGCGGTTCGTAACTCTTTTTTTTTTCCAAATAAATATTATGATTCTTAACAAAAAGAAAAAAAAAAAAAAAGACAGAAGTGATGATGATGATTGCTTAGAGTTTGGTCTCTTAAGTCTTAATGTTGGCAAAGGTTAAAAAGAAAATCTAAAATGTGGGTTTATGAATATATATAATAATAGATGAAAGAATGAATTAACTAGATTTTAAAGGTATTGAAAGTATAATTATATAAAAGTATAATTAAATGTGTTATAGATTGGAAAAATGTAATATTTTTGCACCATAAAATTGTAATTATCTTTTATAGTTACGATCATATAAAAGTATAGCTCAGTATGGTTATAATCACTTGCAGGATCTGGAACAGGAACAGGAGGAGGAGCAGACAGGGTTTCGTCAATGGGTTTGATTGGTCTGTTTGCAAGTTTGTTTTTAATAATTTTCTATTAAATTTTATTACATTATGACAGAGTTTGGATTCTATCAAGTCGAGAGAAAGCCAAATAAGTGAATTCCGATTTCATTTATGATATTCTGAATGTATTGTGTTTTTGTTTGCTGTTTGTTTTAATCCCTCTGGATGTTTTTTTTTACTGTGAGATGAATTTTTTTTATTCAATTTATTTTATATAGCGCCCGAGCACAGCTTAATTCTTCCATTTTTTTTAGAGTGACGGATACCATAGGCCGAAATTCATATTAATCTAAAAAATGTGAAGTAAATTATGTGATTTAAATTAAGATTTTCTACCGAATTTAAAATTCGAATTCGGAACAAAACATACGGTCTTACATCTCATTTCACCATTTGAATTACATAAATTATATTTTAATTCTTCCATGTAATACATGTGAATTACGTATTCGAAGTCAATACACCTCTAGTTTAAGTTTGTAGATTTCAGTTAAATAGCACATAAATTAATAAATGTCGTTAAAAAAACAACCTAAAAACATTAGATATTTTAAAATTACTAAATATTTGAAATATAGGACTGATCTTGAATGGTCCACCATAAATTGAAAACCTTTTCTTTCAAAACCCCATCAAGTCTTTGTTTTGGAAATTCGATCCCGGAGGTCTTTGTGTCGTCTGAAAATCTGCCGCCCGGTCCTTATCCGTTTAAAGAAGCAGAAGCTACCAGAACTTCCTGCTCGTCTCTCTCTCTCTCTCTCGTGATTCCAAATTCAGAACTACCAACTGTTCCAGAATTCGCCGTTTCGTCTCTTTTTGTTACCTGATCGAAGCCGGAGATGGATCCGACAAATCTGAATCAACTGAAGCTTTTCATTGATCAATGCAAGTCCAATCCTTCTGTACTCGCCGATCCCTCTCTCTCCTTCTTCCGCGACTATCTCGAGAGGTTCTCTCTCTCTCCCCTCTATGTCCTGTTCTTCTCGATTTCGTCGGCTTTTGTCCGAAAGCTGCATCTTTTCGCGTTCGAGGGTCTGTCTGGACCGGTATGATATATGTTCCTATCGGATTCTGAATCGATTTGTGTATGCGGCTGTTGAGAATGAGAATCATCAGTATCAAACATTGCTTCTCGCATGTGTTTCGATCTTTCCATGTAGCTTTGATCTTCGAAGCATTTTGTAATGTGGGGTTTCAATATTTTGGATGAAGTCTCAGGCTTTTTCCCATTTTGAGGGTTATATCTCATTTGCAGTACTCTGATTTCAGTGTTGGCGCTAAGTTGCCTCCTGCTGCCTATGAAGATAAAGATCCAAGAGCGGTATGCTGTTCGTCCATTCGGTTTGATTATGTCATAATTTGATTGAATGAGCTGTAATCACGTGTTTGATCTCTGTTTTGCAGAAGGGTTTTGTTGTGGAGGAGGAGAGTGATGAGGACATGGAAGGAACTGAAGAATCAAAGACAAAGGTCGAGGAAGAGGAGGAGGAAGATGAGATCATTGAATCTGATGTGGAGCTCGAAGGAGACACTGTTGAGCCTGACAATGATCCTCCTCAGAAGGTTGACATTCATGGGATTAGGCAAAGGTTTTAGTTAAGTAATTGTCCTTTTCCCCTTTAGATTTAACTCTGGTCTCTCTGATTGGAATCTTCAGATGGGAGATTCATCCGTAGAGGTCATGGATGAGAATCGTGAGGCTGCTCAGGAGGCCAAGGGCAAAGCCATGGAAGCCATTTCCGAAGGTACAATCACGATTCTATATTATCGTCGTCTATTTCTTTTACCGATGTTAGTCTCTTTGGGTTTTTAACCATTGCTTCTATGCAGGAAAATTGGATGAAGCGGTGGAGCATCTAACTCAGGCAATCTTGTTAAATCCAGCTTCGGCTATTATGTATGCCACCAGAGGTAAGTTTGGATATTTATTACTTTTTTTTTAAAGCTGTTTAAATGAGACAATTGTCTTATGGCTTGATTCATCTGATTGCGTTTTAGCTACTGTCTATGTGAAGTTGAAGAAGCCAAACGCTGCCATTCGAGATGCCAATGCTGCTTTGGAGGTTCGATTATCTGTATCTTTTTTCCGATAATCATGCCTTTGGTTTGCTATTTTAGACATGGGTTTTCGATATAGAGACATTTTACGTGGTGAACATCATGAAAGAACCAATGACACACACTGTCAGAGTTATTGTTGGAAGCAGTACTGAATGGATTTCTTGCTTCCGTGGGCACGGTTATACAAATATTTTTACGATTTTTGGAATTTTTTTCGCAGATCAATCCTGATTCTGCGAAGGGATACAAGTCTCGTGGCATGGCTCATGCCTTGCTCAGCCACTGGGAAGAGGCTGCGAAAGACCTTCACCTTGCATCTACAATCGACTACGATGAGGAAATCAAAGCTGTTCTAAAAAAGGTTTCCGCCCATATTTATGTGATGATGTAACTTCGAATGATTCTATGTGATTGTTGTGACCAAACATAGAATGAGTGTGATCCGATGACTAAATTCATGTAAATAGATGCTAGTGAATTTTGATATCCTCTTTGATTACTGAAAAAATGATGCCATAATTGCCGATACAGTCTTCAAATAGTTTACGATACGAATAAGCCTTCGTTCTCACCCACCATTCTGCTTGCAGGTTGAACCGAATGCTCATAGGATAGAGGAGCATCGAAGGAAGTATGACAGATTACGAAAGGAAAGAGAGGACAGAAAGGCTGAACGCGAGAGGCAACGTCGCCGTGCTGAAGCACAGGTAGATTTTTATATCATCATCGTAATATCATATGGTTGGTCAGTTTTTGTTTTACATTGCCCTCAACTCTTGAGTGATATTCTTCAGCTGTCGGACCGACTTTTTGGGTTTTTTTTATATGTCGGGCTAATCCATCTTTTTACGACTGTCTTACTCTAGGCCGCTTATGAGAGATCAAAGAAGCAAGAACAATCATCATCCAGCAGACAACCTGGAGGTGGGTTCCCGGGAGGAATGCCCGGCGGTTTCCCGGGTGGAATGCCAGGTGGAGTGCCCGGAGATTTCCCGGGAGCTATGCCAGGCGGAGTTCCCGGCAATGTGGACTTTAGCAAAATCTTGAAGGTGAGTTTATTTATATCCAAACTCCAGTTTCGAAGTTACCTTGCATGGAAGTGTTTAATTATTTGATTCCATTTTGTTGGAAATTTCGAGCAGGATCCTGAGCTAATGGCTGCGTTTAGCGACCCAGAAATCATGGCCGCGCTCCAAGATGGTACGTATCATCCATCATCTGCTACGTATTTCTTAAACAACATTATTTCCATATAGCCTCAGAATGAAGTTTTTGTATAATCATCTAGCTTTGTCTATACACAGACACCGGTTTCCCCATGAATCATGAAACCAGCCTTGTCTGAACTCAAGAATTACCTCTGGTTGGTGTATTTGAATAAATAGGTTTATTTACATGAAAAAAAGTATCGTTTTTAAAAATCTTGAAAGGGAGAGGTATGATATAGATGCTGGGCAGTATTGTGTAGGAGAGGAGATGGAACCCTAGTTGTGATATACCGTTGTTAATGATCTGATGTAATTTGTACGTGGTTCTTGATTGCTGCGTAGTGATGAAGAACCCTGCCAATCTGGCGAAGCATCAGGCCAACCCTAAGGTGGCTCCGGTCATCGCTAAGATGATGAGCAAATTTGCAGGACCCAAGTAACCTCTCTCTCTCTCTCTCTCGCTCGCTCGCGTACACATGCGTGAGATGTTACGGGCTTTGTCCAAACGAGTTGGACAACACTCGAATCGTGACAAAATCCATCCCCCCTTTGGTCTACTAAATTGTTCAAATGAGTGGCTTGTACGATGCAGTGGCGGACCTACGTGGAGATGAGTGGGGGCACTGGCCCCCACTGTTTTTTTCCTTTTAAAAATATTAGTTATAAAATTTAATAAAATTTTAAAAAAATATGTTAATGCCCCCGCTAAAAATTTCTCACGGACCCCACTAATTTGATTTTTTTCATATATTTTGTGATGTTAGTTAATAAAAAAAATTAGTCTATTGTTTTTTTGTTATTTTCTATTTTCAAGTTTTTTACTTTTTTTAGACAAATAAAAAATATTGTCAATTTAATTATAATAAAATAAAAACTAAAACAAAAGAAGAAATATTTGTAAAAATTGTAAATTTAAATAATCTTTGTTATTTTTTATTTATTTGTTTTTATATGTTTATTATACTTATAAATTTATCTGTATATATATTTATTGAATTTTTATTTGATTTAGTAGAAAGTTCAACCGATAATTTACTAAAAAAATCTAACCCATAATACATTAAATTTTTAATTTTTGAGTCATTGTCTAGTTTATTTTATCAAAAATATAATTCAAACAATTATAAATGGAGTTATATAAATATATTTTAAAAAATAAAAAATCATAGAATTTATTTGTTGAACCTAAATATTTTTAGATAAAATTTTATAATATATATTTATATTTATATTTATATTTTTATTACTATTATTTTGTTGCCCCCATCGATAAAATTTTCTGCATCCGCCACTGGTACGATGTTTGAATGTTTCTAATTAAAGTATTCGAATATTTACATTTAGAGCGATGCCACGTGGGTGGACCGTATATTTCAGATACTGTTGTTTTGGTTCATATTTATATATTAGTTGGTATGAATGAACGCAGTTGTTAGGTACACTTGTCGGTTCAATACGGTATTACATTTGTTATAAGGAAAACAATAGTGTAAAAAGCCGTGTTAGAGTGCACGTCTTAAGTAATTGCAGCGAATTCTGAATTACTTTTTGCGTACGGATGTCTTCTTTGTGAGTTTTGTGAAATTAACAAATACAAACATATTATATATAATCGCTAAAATGCTAATAGAATAATATGCATAAGAAAACTATATAACAAAAAAATAGGTCTTAGGTTCGGCCATATCAAACGCAAGTACACGTGTCTAAATGTAATATATATCGGGCCAAATATATATATATATATACACATGTGTGTGTATTTAAAATTGTTAATGATAATAGAATAATATGCTTATAAGAAAACTACAATAGAAAATTTATTAGGTCTTGCGTTCGGTAATATCAAGTGAAAGTACACGCATATAAATGTGAAATCGGCCAAGTAGATCTAGCTTTGCGTGGGGGTATGAAACAATAACACATATGTAACGAATTTACAGAAGAAGAAAAAATACTACTGTATAGGTAGTATATACACATATATATATATACGTATAGATAGGTATAGACGTACACATACTTACATACATGTATCCATGTACTGAGGAAGAACACAAATAAGATACGAGAAAGTGAGAATATACATCCCTATGTTACGGGGATTTTCTCTTTTGCTTTTTTTTTAATTAATTTTTTTTTAAAAAAAAACAATTCGTTCAAAATTTATGGCGAGGTAAACTTACATTGTGAACCAACCATGTATCCATCATACCGTATTGAAATTTTTGTATGGAATTTCTTCGAAAGCATTTAATGTTCCAAGGAAAAGAAAATAGTCTTATTTTATCTATATATTATTTTTTTTTAAAAATGACATCTGAAAATTTTAAAATGTGGACATGAATGTTCTAGCTATTGCGTCTCACAAAAATCAAAGTGTTTGGTGTTGTTTCTATTTATTTTATTAGAAAGTTTCAGAATTTTCAAAAAATCATATGGTCAAGTATGCACATACTAATTCTACATGATAATAATACAACACTTGAATTGGATGTTTCCAATGTGGTTGTAAGTCTCGCATATGTAACCATGTGTGAGTCCATATCCACTATAAGAATTGTGCTTAAAGTGCAATTAATAATTAATTAAAAACATGTTGCTGACGTCAACTTCAAGGTCATGTTCCAAGTGGAGGCAATGACTTCAGACATACGTGGCATGTTTCATTCGGGCGCTAATTAAACACCACACACGCACACACACACACAAAAATCAAAATAAACAAATCTTGTTCTCTGATTTGGCTTAATAAAAGTTTCTATTCGTGTCTTTATGAAATGAAGAAAAATGGAAACCCTAAAGCATATATACATATATATATATATATATATATATATATATATGTGTGTGTCTGAAATATGTCACAATATATGGCAGTCGACCGGGGGGGGGCGATTTCTCTGATTGCAATTCGATATTTTTAGCATATGGTCGTATCTTTTATTTTTCCAGGTATTATGTAATTGCAGTCCAATTTTTTTTCTCTTTTATGGACCTATTAAAAAAAGATGGTTATCGAATTATAGTTATTTCTCCTATTATAGTTTATCATAATTTTGGAATAGTATATTTCGGTCTAAATATAAATAGGGTTTTTTTTTTCTTGATTCAAAAACAGATCACATTTATACAGAGATCTTATTTTTCATATAATTTTTTTTACCGTTCAACCATATAATAAATCACAACGTTATTAATACGAACAAAAAGAAATTTTGGAGGAAAAAAAGAAAGAAAAAGGAAACGTATGAACTTACTCTAGTGAAAAACCAAACTACACCATGGTGCACCATTGATGCTTTACATGATCTTCACACACAGTTTTAATGTTACAGTGATAATATATATGATGCTTGTGTTACATAGTTTTTAATGTGTCTACACCTATATAAACATATATATATACACACATGTGACATGTATATGCTTATGCGCCATACGTGTGCATGTTGCTCGCTAATGCTTGTCATTCATCCCAATGGAACTCACTCCAATACCGTGGAAACATCCGAATCCAAAATCTTGAACCCCGAAATCTTGGCAATAATCCCAAAACGTCCAATTTTCGCTGACCATTTCCTCCTGCGACCATGCCGGAAAATCTCCCACGGACACCATGTTTTCGCCGGAGATATTGTCTCTCCCGGCGTCTTCTCCACTAAGTCCAACGTTATTGTTCGTCCACGACGTATCCCCCCAAAGAGGTTCGTCGGTCCAAAGGCTATTAAACAGATCTTCGTCATTGTTGATGGACCCAAATAGTTGAGAATCGTCGGTTAAGCTATTCTGGTCGCTGGTATTTTCGGCCGAGACGTTGGTCTCTACGCTTTGGGCGTGACCTGTATTTGGTTCTGAGAGATTTTCATCAGGATTTTGTGTAGCAATAATCTCAGGATTATCGATATTATTTTGATCGTTAGGCTCCTTGGTTAGAGGCTGATGGGTCACTGGATCGATTCCCATCCTTAGAAGTTTCTTCTTGATATGGGTGTTCCAGTGATTTTTTATCTCATTATCCGTTCTTCCGGGCAACCTCGCAGCAATCTTGGACCACCTAATCAACAAATAAAAACAAGGTTATAACGATATAAGCATATATATATATATAGTATATGATATTATATATAATTTGAAAGATAATGATGTTAGGTGTTGGTAGAGATGTCAAAATCTTTAAATCTTGGAAAGTAACACAAGAAATTGACGAATAGGTTCACATGATCTTTCAAGAGAGGGACGTTACTTTGTTTGGAAGTTTATTTCAAATCGGAAGTAAATGCACAAGAACGAAGACCGGTTTTTTTAATGGATTTTCATCTCATCCTTGGGATGACAAATTCTTTTACAATATATATTCAAAGTGACTGAATTATTGATAGATATGTTATTATGTGTATGGTAAGCACCTGTTGCCAAGATGAGCATGAAGGTCGATAACGAGCTGTTCCTCGGAGTCGGAGAGAAGGCCTCTCTTGAGGTCGGGTCGGAGGTAGTTAGTCCATCGGAGACGGCAGCTCTTGCCGCAGCGGCGGAGGCCGGCGAGCTTAGGCACCGCCCTCCAGCAACATTGGCCGTTCGCCACTATGAAGTTTATGAGCTTCTTGTCTTCCTCCGCCGTCCACGGCCCCTTCTTCACCCCTAGCTTGTCACAACACGGTTGCCTCCCCATCTTATATAATAATTATTATTATTATATGATACCTTATCACAGAGAGAGAGAGAGAGAGATGTGAAAAAAACCCTAAAGTTTTTTAGAGCCCAAACACCAAACCTCACCCACCTATATATACAACCTCCACAACACTTTGCGAGACACCCCACAAGTTTTCGGAATATAGATTAAAAAAAAATAGTTTGCCCTACCTTTAAACGTCACATTTTCAATTTTTCTTTTTTTTTCATACTAAATATAATAGTTTTTTATAATTAAAAAATTCACTAAATATTTGACATTACATTTTCCTAGAGTACGAAAATCGGTCATACCCCTCCCCAATTGAGTTACTAAATGTAATAGTTTGTGTGTTTGGATAAATAACTTAGTCAAGGCTATAAAAATATAGGTTCAATTTTTATGCTACTAGTTTTTCTATAAAATACATAAATATATATACTATGTGTATGTCTAGTTATAGAATAGATGGAGGTGCCAAATAAATATGTTTGACGTATTCACAAAAAAAAAACATGGGATGGTATTGTTGAAAACTTTAAAAGAGGAGACTCCATTGGCTGGTGAAAGCGACTTTGGAACTAATATGAAATGTTAGGGTGTGTTTGAATGTACTCAAACACACGCGCACATGAATTAATTTGAAATTATATTTAGATTAATCGAATAAACATTATCCTTTGTCTCACGTGTATATATAATGCTTGGAGAATTAAACCGGTTTGGACCGTCATACTCATATAACACAAAAATATATAAATGTTTATCCTTTAATTCGTGTTAGCTGTTTTTTTTATAATGCTAAATAGGTTTAAGTAATTTATGAAAATCAGTGGCGTTTTGACATCGTCAATGATCGAATTTAGCCACTGCCGTGGAGAAGCCCACGTGCGATCTCTTAATATCTTTAACTTATACATATGTTCTGATATATGTATATATATAATTATAATTATAAAAACGCATTAAAATCACATTTGGAAATAGCTGATAGGGGTTGATATAATTTGACAAGCAATCATACGACACGTATGCTTGCATGCATGCCTATATATATAAATACGTTATGTTGTAGATTGTTCTGATTAATATATTAGGACCTACCGGTGACTTGTGAGTATTTCGATGAATTTGAAGAATTTAATGGGTTCGATTTTGCTGACATGAAATTTCATCATTGTTAGGTCACCTAGACTCTCAAATTTATTTCAATATTAGAAAAAAGATATATTAATTTATGGTACGACCTTTCACATGCTAATGGTTCTGATGCTATTCTTTTCTAACAAATTTCATTGTAGTCTTATAGATACTAAGGCTATCATTTTTGTATTTAAATATTAGAAACCGCTTCAGAAAATTGGCTTAAACTGTCCATTGGGTTTCAGAATTTATTAATAGAAAATAAAATCATTTTATTTATCTCAGTTATCTTGGTATAATGGTTTGAAACACCGTAACAAAATGTGTTTACATTTATGAAATGCGTTATCCACCAAGAACAGATGTTACATTCTAAACAAATGTCAAAGTGAAATTCAACGGCCGATTCATTATTTTTCTTCTGGGTTCCGATTTCTTTTGACTTGTGCGATTTTACCCACAAGAATATTAATATATGTTTCCTACATGACCCACGAAGTACGAGTTTCATCATACGTATAGCTTTATCAATGTTCGATATGCATATTCACGCGACGGTCCAACAAAGTATCATCAAACCGTATTATTACTAACATTAAGCTATATAAGTTTGAGAAATAATTGTCATTAAATAGGAAAAAAAATTGTAGAATATCTGCTGATTAGTAGACCTAATTAACATTTTAATTTTAACATGACCTAATTATCATTTCGATTATTTGATTTTTTTTAAAAACAGATATATAAATGTTCCGTCAGAGACATCCCACTCAAGATTTGATGATGAGAATATAATTATGTCCCTTAAACTCAGCGATTAGCACAAATCAAAAGTGACATTTCAACCCCCCCGAACCAAGAACTCCTGAAATCCCCCACTACTTTTTATTCTGCAACTTTCATTTTTTTTTCTTAAGCAGAAGTTAATAAGACTTTTAATTATTGTTTGTTGTCTTAGTTGAAATGAAAAAAAAATCAAAATCTAATTTAATCATCATGCTTAATTAAGTCTCCCACTTACGTAGCTTATGAGCAATGCAATCGTCATTAAGAATATATTTATATATATATATGATTAGGTGGAAATACTTATCTATATATCCCACATGTTAATTACTCAAAAAATCTAATAACTTCATTTCCTTACACAATTCTTAATTGAAGTATATAATCCCGTTTATAACTAGGCGTTAAGACTTTAACAAAATCACCCTAAAAAATAAGTTCACTATTTTAAATGTTGAATAAAATAACCCAAGATAATCACCACAAACTAACAAACTAATTTTCCAAGTACCTGAAAAGGAGGTTTTACTAAGGGTTTCATTATTTTTAATTCGGGGTTTTAATTTGTGTATAAAAAAAATATCTATCATTTTATTTCGGATTTAATTTTTTCGCATATTCAATTTGAGTTTAATTTTTTCTTTATCATTTCATTTTTTTATTTGTTTCTGTTGGGGTGAGTTTAATATATGGAACAAAAAATAGTCACCTCTATGGATAAAATTAGATATGATAATTAATTACGTAGACCCTAAACACAACATATTAGGTAATTAAGTAAGTAACCAAAATTGAACTCCTAATTTTAAAGAAAAACTCCTAATTCTTTCTCATGCTTTCAGTATCTGAGAAAACAATCCAATTTTCTCACGTATTGTCCCAATGAAATCAGAAGAATTGTATGCACTTTCAAAAAAAAATGTTTTCGTTTATTTCTTTCTTTATAATTTCACATTTCAAAGTTCAAACAAATATTTGTAGAACTAGAAACTATGAAATTTAAATCGAACACACAATGATCCGTGTTAATTTTTTTCGTAAAGAGTAGATGTGTATTAAAAAATATTGACAATTATTCATATCAAGAACATTAAATTGATTCAAGAATACTATTTATTAAAAAAAATTATAATAATCCAGCGCTGCGTAAAGTCGGAAAGTCTCTCTTAATGGGTTTGGGCTGAGCCTTTGTTGTTTATTGATAAGTGGTCCAAAACATTTCTAAAATTATATTTGGGCTCCAATAGTTTCATTTCAAACAAGTAAGCCCAAATCTTTTTTTTTAATCTCCGGGATGTCAGAAGATTCAAGATTCAGAAACCATCGTCGTCGTCCCCCCCCCCCCCCCCC